GGGCGAGGGCCCCGCGGGTGGCGGGAGCGGTTGTTTACAGCCGGGGGGGAGGCTGCTCGCCTCGCTTCTGGCTTTTGCGGTTATAGGCGGGGAAGCGGCGGTTTGTCAGCGCGCAGCAGCTGGGCGAAGCCAAATGAGCAGCTGGTGGGGGCCGCGCTGTGGTAGGGGAACCGCAAGGTGATGTTATTTCCAGCGAAAGGCTTTAATACAACCTGTGGAAGTTTCTGAGTAGTCTGTAGTTCTCTTGCCTTAATATTGATTTGCATGTACTGAGCTCTGAAATGGAATTGCTTGTCTCAGCTGTGGTTTTTAGAAGGACAGGGCATCCCTGAGTGAGTTACCCGGAGCTGCCCCTCCCGGGTGAAGTTCTGGGTAAGACTAGACGTGACTGAACCAAGTGACTCTTCTCACATCTTGACTATGCTGGAAATGCATTTAAAAAGAAACTCTTGTTAAAGCTTTTCATGTAGTTCCTGCTGGCAGCCTGGTTGCCCAGTCTTATTGTCCCAAAGTTTGTGTACATCTTTGGCTTGGGCAGATTGAAAGGCTCTTGCACTTTCTTCTGATAGTGTCAATTTTATTTACCTAATTCTGATCGTATTTAATATTTGCCTTGTAATATTTAAGTGACTATGTAGAGATAAAACAGATTCTGCTCTGATAGTTTGTTACATGCCTCTTGTATAGGAAAGAAGTGTAGCAAGTGGTTAATACCCTTGTCTGGGACCAAGGAGAACATGTGTTTGGTTTCCTCGTTCACCACAGACTTTTGAATATAAGCTTGAGCCAAGCTCCTCCCACAACTAATGGTTTGTTGATTTGGGTCTAAACTATAAAATCGGAAATAAAATATGGTGTTTTAAGGATCAAAACAGAAGAACTCAAATTAGTTGGCCTGAATAAGCATATCTTGAGTAACTTACCCACAAATCATTTATACATACCTAATTGATTAAGTCACAAATCTGACCTTGCTGCTGTGCACTTAAAAACAAACAAAAAAGTTTGTGCTTAAGTTGAAATGCTGATGTTAAGTCATGAAAATATCAGTAAATTCAGAGTCCACTTGATGCTTCAGACACATCCTATCTATTTTGGTGGTGTCCTTATGTGTTCTGGGACAGAGTAGAAAAGCCAATTACTGAAATTAATCATTGTCTTCTCTTGTGATGTTCTCAACATGAGTGACAGATGCTGCATTAAGCATATTGGATTCAAGCAAAATATACTCGTGTACCCAGTATATTTTGCAGGAGACTTAATCATTACTGACAGATGGCTCTTGTCAAAGAATGGCCTCTTTTAGTTAGAGTTGTTGGAAAAGACAAAAAAGATTGAATTCAAGAAGCCATAGTAATGAGAGACAGCCCCATCCTGAAAGTTAATATGTGAAAATGATAAATGAAAAATGTATTAATATTACAGAGAGCCTATTACCTTAATGGGAGTTGTGCTCAACCCCGTGGAGATAATGTACTGACTTCCAGTTGATGCTTTGGAGTTGAGTAACCAGGTAATACATTGAAGATCAGGGAAGCCCCACAAAAGCATTCTGTATAAAACAGAAATGTTTTGATTTGTTGGGGAGAGCTAGCAGGATATAGAAGCCAGGTTGTACATGAGACTCAGATGAGTCTCCTGCAGCAAGTAGAAAGCTCAGATGGTTTGGAGGTTTGGGTTTTTTGTTGGGTTTTTTTTTGTATGTGTGTCAGCCTGTGAAGTGAAAACCTGTAAAGCAGAGAGACTGGTGATCGAGGAGAAAGAATGTGGTGAAAAATGTTAAACTTGTATGGGACAGTTCTATGAAGTTAGAAAATTGCTGAAGTAAAAGGACTCTGAGCCTTGTAATGATGAGCCTCCAGATGAGATGTATCTCATCTAAAGAGTTAGCTTAAAGCTGCAATTGGCTTTTTTTTTTACTCTCCTGTCCCCCCACCTAGCTGGAAAACATCAGACCAGTAAATGTGAAGCTCGTATGGCAAGGCTAGTATCCATAAATGAAGGGAGGAGGAAAAAACTATTCATATGGTGTTGGCACTTGGTATCCCCACGGGGGCTTCATGGTGGTTTAAAAAAAAAAAAAAAAAAGGACTAATGGATTTGTTAAGGCAGGGTTAAAATTGACACGCGTGGTGTTTTGTTAAGGTTTATGAGGGTGGGAAGAATTGTGCCAGTAATTGGATCTAAAACTGCATTTATACCACTGTATTCACAACAGAAGACCAGAAATCTGCATTTTAACGTGCTGAAGCTTTTTGAGAGGTTGCTTTTGGTAAAATGTCATGTTTGAATGCTCTGCAGAAGACTTAGTAAGGACAATGAGGCTTTTAAGTAGATAAGATGACTGGCCAAAATGTTGCCATTCTGCAAACCCGTCAGTGTATCTGCTGGCTTAAGTAAGATATTTGTAAACCATCCCAATGACACCTTAGTATTTAGAAGAGGAAGTCCTGCAGATCTGGGGAAATATTCTTTCCTGGAATGGCAAATTTGAACTTTGCCATCTTGAACATGAGCATGGTGATAGCCTTACAGTTACTGTACTTCCTCTTTTATTAAAATTGTGCCTGTCTGGCGAGTCAGGCATTAAAAGTAAGAAATCCTGGCACAATAGTCCTAAACAATACAAATTGCTAAGAATATTTGGGCAGTCGGAACAGCAAGACTGTTTCACTTAGATTTGTCCAGGGGACTGGAAACAAAGCTCAACCTCAGCTGTCTGGCAGCCAGCGCTCCAGGGTGCAAGTCTGGAAAAAGTAGTGTGCACCTGAAAAGGGCAGTTCTGTAGCTTGCATTCATTAATAATTTCCTATCGACTGAGCTATTAGGCCTGTAGTAATCTTCACATGACATATCTTCTCTTTGGAGGTTTGCACTGTAGTATTGTGGAATACGCAAGCTGACTGCTCTCCAGTCATGCCATTCTCACTGACCTGGTTGGCCTCCTGTTACAAGGTGCTCTAGCTTCTCTTGTCTTTCAGGCAGAGTTAAATTGCTATCTACAGCCACCTGGGGTTCACCTCTGCTGTCGTCTTCTCTGCTGTTGCAATATATTGGCATTGGCAACATACCATAATGCAGCGCTAAGGTAGCTCTTGCCGTATCCTTTGTATCCAGTGTACATCTGGATAACTGCACTTTGGACCATCTATGTGCGTGGCATGTTGCCAAGTCAGTCTGGTTAGGCTTGTCAAGGATACTAATGCCAAGCAGCAAGGAATTTGGGATAATGAATCCAGCCTGTGTAACACCAGATGCAATGTGTGGCCTTTATTGCAAAGGTTAAGCAAATGAAAACAGAATAAATTTATGTTGCCATTTCTGCTCATGCCAAAAACAGTCTCTGAACATGGAAGAACTCAAAATTCAATCCCTTAGAAACTGCCACTCAAATGAATTGTGATACAGTAAGCACGTCAGGAACGAGAAGCAAAACACTTGGATAATCAGTGTCTACTGGGAATGTCAGGTCGTCAGATGACTGAATCATGAAATGCCAGAAAATAACCACAGCTGCATTAGAGTGTGATATTAGTTACTTTGTTGGCACTTGGCCAAGCAATCTGCTCAGACTCACTACCCGAAAAGTCTCCTAAGAAACTACATGCACTATGACGGATGTTGATTTTGAATACTTTAGTTTCTTTCATCCCCTCATCAGCTTTTATCTGCATTTTTAAAATGAGTTGGTCTTGCTGAAGAAATGGCTTGATCCTCAGTTAGGAATCGGCTAGAGGTGCCAAGAAGCAGGAATAAGGCTGCAGGAAACTCTATAAGGAGGTAGTGATTGGACTGCATGGAGAACATTTTTGCTGAACTATTTGGCGTGTCCTCTCATAACGGTTGTGCTTTATTCTGATCTGAAATTGTACTCACTTGGCTGTTTGACTGTGCTATGCCTACAGAATTGATCAGAGGGAAGAAGTGTTTTGCACTTTTGCTACTTAGTTTGAAGAGCTTAAAAGAGAGTGGAAATTAAAATGGCTTTGAGATTTCCCTGGTTCCTGCCAGTATAGAGCTGGAGGCGGAAGGGGAGATGCTGTCTGTAATCAGCTCTGGACACTTGCAGTTCCAGAGCAGTGTAGAAGCCTGAGCAATGGATACAAGAGGCAATACTTGCTGCTTTAGCAGCTGAGATACATCTTAAAGCCAATGCAGTATCTTGCCCCCACTCAATAATTTGGACTCTGCTTTAGGGAAGCTTCCCCCCTGCCCCTTAACCGAATGTGGTTTATTCTATGTTGAATGCAGCTGAACTGAAACTTGTATAAAGGATCAGAACATGCAGCTACTTGAACAAAGGTCATTAATTTCACATATTGGCCAGAATGTTTAATAAATGGAGATTGCTTGTTTCTTTCTGGACCTAAACATTTCTTTACTGCACAAATCAGCAGAGGCTTATTTTAAGTACACTAACTTGTCTGTGTTTTCATGACTTACAAATTCACTTGCATACAGCAAAAATACACTTTGGATCCAGGGGAGGGGGAAGGAATGTATGTCTTCTGTAGCACATGAAGGCAAACACTAATTTCACGTAAAATGATGAAAGGGAAATGAAAGCTATGCTTTCCTGTAACTTTATCATGACTGTCTGGGCTAGGTTGGAAAAACAACTTTTAAAAAGTCTTGCAACTGTTTTATAATTGATTGCTCTGTTTAATACAGTTTAACTCTTCTCTTTCTCCTCTCATCAGAAAAATGAGCGGTGGGTTGGCACCAAGCAAAAGCACAGTGTATGTGTCCAATTTACCCTTTGCTTTGACAAACAACGATCTATACAGAGTAAGTTTTTAAGAGCTGCATTGTGTAGATTAAACTTGTTCACAACAATTTTGAGTGTAAATACAATACTGATATATATTGATTACTTTAGAAATGTTTGTCTTGATAAGTTTATTACTAATGACATGCGATTGTCTATTGTTAAATCTTTTTATTTTCTTTCATATTTCAGATATTTTCAAAGTATGGGAAAGTTGTCAAGTAAGTGACCTCATATGGCCTGCTGTTTTTGTAGCTTTCATTTTAAATATTTAATGTCTTTGCTTCACTTGGAAGTCTTGTGCTTTTTATAATTTAAGTATGAATGTGGAACTGTATTGAAGTCCTGTTCATTTTTAATAAAGTATAAATTTAATATAACAACTGGAAGTTCTTGCAGTTACACACATAATGTAAGAATATTTGTGTTGGGGACAGGTTTTGCTAACCCCTTCTTAAGAGCAAGTAGAATGTTGTTCTATACCATGGTCTTGTCTCCGAAATAGTTGAAACAATATTCTTCCACTAAGTGTTGTTCCCCTTCCCCTGAACACTGCCTGGGACACAAGTGGATAAGTGTTGAAGTGGGAGCTTCTACTTAGGTGAACTAGATGTCAGAGTTCCCACAAACAGTTCCCACAATCGCAATGTACAATTCCTCTATTTGTGGTTCTAGAGAGACTTGTTATTGTGACTGCTTAATATTATCTTTAAGATTAGACGTAAGGCTGCATAGTAATAGCTTGTAATATGTGGGGTATTCATGAACAATACTTGTGAATACCTGCCTCTATATTCAAATGATAGAAATAAATGCCACAGTAAGGAACTTGCTGTTTTGTTTTGCTTCTTTATTTTTTAACTGGTCAGAATAACGAGACTCAAGACTTCAGTTTTCAACCCTACACCAGCAAATATCTACTCTAACTTTTAGCAGCTGCTGTAATAATCTGTGAGATACAGAGCTAAATTAAAACTTCTTGAAGTTTCAGGAGTGTGTTTCAGGTGACAAATAGCAGGAAAAGCCAAACTACAATTTTAGAAAAGCATAGTTTTTAAATTGACTGAGAGGAAAACCCTTATGTAGGGCTCTGGCAGACATGCAGTGACCAATACAACTGGGCACCTACAGTCTCTATTGTTTCCAGGGCAGGGTGTCTGTTTTAGTTGATTGCTGAGCTACTGATTTAGAAAAATCGTGAGCAAAGGTCATAGTAATGCTGGTGTTTAATATCCATTGATGGGCCTGTTCTCCAGAAATTTGACACTTTGGACCTCTCTGCTATCATTTGGTAATGTACCTGTACTCTGTGTGTTTCGGGGTGGCGGTCTTGGCTTTTGAACTTGTTCGATAGGAGGATGAGAATTGTATGAACTATTGGCTATATGATGCATTGCTTATTTTAAAGGTGTCATAGCAGCATTCCCTCTTTTCTTTATTAATAGTTTCTAGTGTTCTATTTGCTTTATTTTTGACTGTCATAGACAACAGAAATGGTGTTTTCAGATGCCTATGCAGAAGAAATCCTGCGCTGTGTCCTGTGTGAAAGTAGCTAATTTAGAACTTGCAATTCTACCTGCATAGTTACTGTTTTCTCCCACCTATATATTGTTTTGCCAAAAAATCACTTATGGATACCTAATTTTTCCTGTCATTTTGTCTAGTTGCTGCCAGAAGTTAAACCAAATGCAAAGCGTCACAGAATACCATGTGTAAAATGCTACCGTGATTTTTTTTTTTTTGTATCTAGCAAAATTTGTTTCCTGTTCACCCCTTTGCAAGCTGACCTGACTATAAACAGTGCAGATACTGTGGGATTCTACTGATATTCCCATTTCACCCTGAAACTGAGGCTAACAAGGATCAGTTTTCCTTTTTGTAACTAGTTATTAATTCTCAAGAAAAATCTTTTCAAATATTACCTTGATTTCTGTAGAGTCTTTGTTCAGGGACTTTAACACACTTTGCAGAAAGCTTTGTGATGTCACCTAGGTCAACTTTAACTTAATTAAATAAGCTTTAACAGACTTCTGTTTGAAGTGTGTCTTGAGTCAGCAAAATCATGCTGACTTTTCTTCCGTACTGCATTTCTCACCCCAATATATCCTGACTATTATGATTTCAGCTCACTTTGTTCAGTGAGAAATCAGACTTTCTAGGGCTCCACGAAGTTGCTGACTTTTTAAAGATCTGTCACACTTGTTCCTTTCTATGCTTGTCTTATTAACTGGTACATTCAATATCCCAATTAGAAGCCTGACAGTCATATTAGGGTTCCGTTGGAACTCTTGGAAGAGTAACTTGGCAAAAGAATTAATAGAATTGTTCTGAAGTCAGTTTTATTGACACTTATTCAATTGGACACATCCGTGTCCAAGAGGCTTTGGTAGAAAAAGTGTTCTAAGCTTAATCTTTCTGTGCATTTATTTGGGGTAAAATTGCGCTTTCTTTACTGAGCCTTTATTTTATACACTTTTTACTATGTAGGTCATCTGTTACTGATACAGGTTCTCTGGTAGGCCTTCTGTGTTGAAGTGGGGTTTGTTCAGTGTTTTGTTGTTTTTGTTTTTGTTTTTTTAAATGTCCTATTTTTTAAGTAATACTTCTTACAATTTTGGTTTGCCTTATGGCTGAACCTTGTTCTGCCCATGGTGGACACAGGAAGGAGTTTATTCCCTACTTTTTAGCATGTACTTTTATTTTTATGCACAGGCAGACTGGCATCCTTTTCCCACTGTTTTTTGGGTTTGTTTTTTTTTTAGGGCTAAAAAACAGTTGACGTTAAGATTAAAAGAATTGAGGTTGTATGGGTTCCTCCCTGCCTTCACCTCTTGTCATTCTTTTTCTTTGTCTGTTGTTTTTACTGGGTCTAATCTTCCTTGATTTTCTTGATGTGCTACCGGAGCTGTTGATTCCAATGTTAGACTGAAGATTTGACTTTGTATGTCACGTAAAATAACACATACGTCCATGACCTGCTTGGATTCCAGCTGAAGATATTTGTAGAACAATACTGCATATACTTATCATTTCCTATCATGAACCTGTTTAGCTGGTTAGTCCTACAGAAACACAAAATTCTCAGTTTGGATGCAGTTCAATACACTGTGTTTTTCAGCAATGACAGCAATGGTCAAGATTACTCCTGAATTTTAATTTCAGCTACAGTGTGTGTAGTTCCCTCCAATTACATTGCCTGCAAATCTAAAGAGTTTGTTCTCTGTTCTTCAAGTCATCCAAGGGAGTAAAGAATAATACTGGACCCAGAAAGACTCCACGTGCTTTTTTTTTTTTAAATTATCTCCGCTCTACCTGTAAGCACATGGCCAGGTTAGCTGTTCCGTTGAATTTCAGTTTAGTGAGCCTTTCTATTGTTAAATATACTTTTTCCTTTTTGCTATGTAACAAAGCTAAGATCCCACTGAGGTATTTAAGGAAAAAATGTCTCTGAAGTCATTTTAGTGTATCAGTAACGTGGTTATATGTTTTCAGAGTTACTATTATGAAAGACAAAGACACCAGGAAGAGCAAAGGAGTTGCCTTTATTTTGTTTTTGGATAAAGAATCTGCACAAAACTGTTCTCGGGCACTTAATAACAAACAGGTAAATTGTGGAAAGTTGTTATAGCAGGAGGGATGGGTTTACAGTCCCAAAATATTTACCTTTTTTTCCAATTTGCTGTAGTTGTTTGGAAGAGTAATAAAAGCAAGTATTGCCATTGATAATGGAAGAGCAGCAGAATTCATTCGCAGACGTAACTACTTTGATAAATCTAAGTGTTACGAATGTGGGGTGAGTAAAACCAAAAATGAACTAATATATTCCATCTTTTGACTCTTAGCTTGTTTCTTCAGTTTGGCCACTGCTAATCCTGCCTGTGCTGTTAAATTGATTTTTTTTTCCTGTTGATATTATCAGCTTGCATAGCAGTTGTACCATTTTCAAGAATGACAGTACCCCTTTTGTCTTTTATTTGGGATTTTGGGGATGGGGGAAAATATGTACATATAATTGCTGCTTAACATGCTGATGAGCAAACAGACCTGACTATCAGTATACTGCTCTTTGAGAAGGAAAACCTCCTAATCTTTGCTTCAAAATACCTGCTTTTGCTATATCTTTGGAGGTTCATGATATAGTTGGCAGCAAAATAAATACTGGAAACAACTGTTTTTAAACAGAAGTGTGTTTTAAGTTGTAGGTAATTCCTCACTTTTCCTAAACATGGTAACATGGGAGATTGAGATTTGAATAGTATTTGATGTCAAATACAAACTTGATTTATATTCATAACACTTTTTAGAGCAAAAATGTTGACTCACTCCTGTTTCTTAAACTGTTAATGCTGAGGTTTATAGCTTGACTTGAACATAAACCGTGCTGTTGTATATTCAGCTATTGCAGCAGCCAAAGAAAATCTACTTTGCTCATAGCTTGTTCTCAATTTGCAGGTAAATATGCATATCTGTGGCAAGCTTATAGAGAAGAGGTTGTCTTCTGTGTGCTAATTCAGCATTCCATTTATCGTACTAATTGCTTCCATTTTTTTCCCCATGAACTGTCTTATATTAACTTACCTCATGATATGTTTCAGCATATAGTTGTTTGTAATGGTTTCTGTTAAACAATATTTCTTTTTCTCCAAGGAAGCAGGACATTTAAGTTATGCTTGTCCTAAAAATATGCTAGGAGAGCGGGAGCCACCAAAAAAAAAAGAAAAGAAGAAGAGAAAGAAAATAGTTGAGCCAGAAGAAATGTATGTATATTTATTCATATGTTAATACTTCTTTTAGGAAGCTTTTTCATACTGAACACTTAAAATATTTTTCTCTCTCTGCACGATGAAGTGAGGAGGAAGAAGAAAGCGACGAGGAAGGAGAAGACCCTGCTCTAGATAGCCTCAGCCAAGCCATAGCTTTTCAGGTACAAAATTGAAGCACTGCATATTCATTATTTATTATTATTTAAATGAACTCTACTTCCTTTTTTTAGCTGCTTTTCAAAAGCTTTGAGATACACCCGTAGGTCTGTCCGCTCTGTAGCACTCAGGACACTCTCGCCTGGCAGTAGTTGGTGACTAGTTGGTTTCTTCATATTGCAGGCATGTTCAGTCAGGGGTTTTTTGTTCGTTTGTTTGGGTTTTTTGTTTTTTACTGTTTCACTATTGCTGTGTTTGTGCATTGCAATTTTTTCTTTCCTTCAAGCTCCTTTGCTGCTTAGTTCCCTGTCTTCTCTTCTGTGAAGCTCTATTAGGTTTTTGGTCCACAAATCCCTCTTTACTCTGTTAACTGAGCAGCCAGAAAGAGTCATGTGTAAATGACAAGGTACCTCCTCTGCCGTCACTCACTAGAATATTCTTGAACAATGTCTATTTCTGGAACACTTCCTTTGCCTAATACAGTCCATTGCGGTCTCTAATAGAACTCTTCTCTCAAAACGTATTTAATGCCTTTTTTGTTACATAGATGGATAGTCCAACAGCTGTATTACTGTCTTCTTTAATACTTCTTTACAGGCTTTTGCTTCACTACACAGAGCAAGCCTGACCTGATGTTCAAATTTCTTGGCTCCCTCGTCCTTAGCTGCTCCCTGTGTGCCTCTGTCCCCCCCAAAAAAACCTCAAGATTTTTTAAGATAACTTTGCCCTGAATATGACTGTAATGAGTGCAAAACTTTTACATGAGGTAGTCCAAAAAAATGATGCAAATATGTACAATTATCCCCCCCCACCCCCAGAAAACTCCACGACTGGAAGTAAAACCTATAAATGTAAACAAGCCAGGAAACATTCCCATTTCTATCGCCATCCAAAGCTTTTAACTGGGATAGCGTATTTCCCAGTAAAAATAGGAAGCATCTATTTAAACCTTTAGTTGAATAACCTTTACATCCCTGAATGAATGATTGCAAAAGACAACAGATGGAATACTTGTTAGCAGAACAAGGCTGATTCAATAATGTCAATTTAAAACGCGATGCATTCTTTGCTTCAGATCTCAGTTGCTCTATAGTTCTGTAAGTTTGCCATGGGTAAAGTTCCTCTCTTTGAAAACAGAGGGTGCTCCATGTGGCCTGCATTGGTGCAGAAGACTTACTTCTTGCATGTGAGAGCTACTTTCAGAAATGTTTTCTAGTGCATTCATCGCGCAGTTTATCTGGAAATGGAGATAAACCCTTTGAATTCTTTAACTTATTAAATAATTCAATGCATATTAATGATTAGCATTATTATTTGTAATGCATCTTAATTTTTCTTAATACTAGCTAATACTTTTCCTTCTTTCACTGTAGCAAGCCAAAATTGAGGAAGAACAACAAAGATGGACGCAGACTGCAGGGGAATCTTCAATTTCAGATGATTCAAAACGTCCACGGATTAAGAAAAGTGCTTATTTCAGTGATGAGGAAGAACTTAGCGATTGAAATCATACTGGTTTATATGCATATATAATATATATATTGTACATTTTGTAAAGTGCTACAAAGTGATCTGTAAAACAGGTTTGTCTTGGTGTTGAAGACACTTACTGAAAATCATGTTGTAGTTCTACCCTGCCCCCCGAACCTCCCATCTTTTGATATGTCTCTCAAAACTTCACCTTTCAAGGCAGCTTCTTAAGAAAACTATGTGTTTCTACACTTAAATCCAGAAAAATATCTGGGAGAATGCTTCTTGCAGTTATTATCTAGACCCAAACCCTGGGAATAAAATCTTTCGTAAGAGAATTTCCCAAGATTTTTTTCCTAAGAGAAGTTCCTCTTAGGATCACTGTTAGCACTACCGATGCTTTATGTATTGGTCTGTTTATTGCCTGTTTGGAAGCAGTGCTTTAGTAGTACTTTAGTAGTATATGAATCTTGCACTAGTTCCTCTGCACAGGGCTGAATTTCAGCCTTAAGCATTGTACTAGTCTTTTAACTCTTCATGCAGTAATATAATAAATTACTGTCACATCAGCTTGGTCTGTGAAATCATTTTAGACTGAACAATACATCTGTCTGTTTTCCTAAAGGATATTAGGATGTTGATCTTCTGTCTTACACACAGTTTTAGTAACTTGCTGTACACTTCATAGTATTATATAGCCTGTATACAATGTAGGCTTCATAGGAGATGCAAGTTAAAAGTGACGTGGTGATTAGTTCAGTCTTGAAACATACTTAGTAATTTTTTGAGTGATAGTTCTGTTGCTCTTGCATTAAAATGAGAATGGCCGTATATTTAAAAAATGAGAATGCGCATATGTTTTAATATGCTCTAATCTGATATTGAAAGTCTCTTGCTGTAATAAGGGCTTATACTGCACTCTTTCTCCTGACTGCAGTTTGGGTGCCTAACATGGTAATTATGGTTATGCACGGGTTTTTAAATATACTTGTATCTGACATGGGTCACAGTCCTGTCTTTTCAGGCATCTGAACCTGCTGGCAAAATCCAAAAGGGACAAAGTTTCCTACATGCTTAAAAATCAGCTTTCATATATACTTGGAACTGTCCTGGTCTCTAAGCAAAGTGTGTTGGCACCTATTTTGTACCTAAAGCTGTTCAGATCCTTTAAATAGGGTCTCCATCCTTAAATCTCTGTAGGGTTCTAGTCATGTTTTCCTAAGAAGCCTCATAGACACATTAGGAGAACAGTACAAAGCCCTGCAGCAGTGATCATTCTCAAAACCACAAGACACATGGTGATGGTGGTGACTACTTTGTGTAGTCAAACTTTTCATTTTTAGGAGGCACAATATAAAACACATTCACACTTTCACACTTGGAAGAAGAGACCAGCTGGCCTCTGTTTCTATTTTCAGCTCTTGCTGTTGCTCATCAGGACTTGGTTTTCTTCCAAATATAGAATATGTAAGTCCAAATATACCATTACATATTCTTAATTAATACCAATTTACATTCAAATATATAACTAGGTGCAAAGCAAAGACATACACACACCCCCTAAGCTAATAGAAAGCAGTCACATTCAGAAGGTCATTCTGGGGTCTTCTGTTGCTACATTCACAAGAACTCAGAAACAAGAATAAGGTAATAAAGTAAAAGAGTTTTCTGTGCAAACTACTCAAGCCATAGAATGGGAAGAAATATTGTACTTTATACATAGGAAGGTCTTGGACTCAGTAATCCAAAGAATGTTTTTAAGACTTACTTTGTGACTTTCTGCTGAAAGTACTATATATTGAATCTGAAGCTTCCTTTACTGAATATTGGAAAGATCTCTTGATACTGAATAGGCAAGTCTAAAGTTCCAGGTGTAACTTAGGGGTAATAAATGCAAATCACTGTATATCATGTGCATAATAGTGAAGACTGAGGAGTTCTAAACTCTGCTAAGGAAGAAAATCTTGCTGCCAGCATGCTTCTCTGCAGATGCTAGGATAGGGCTCAATGGCAGTAAAAAACCAAAAGAAATGGAGAGCAAAACAAACAAAAATATTATGCCATTACTTAAAATCAGGGTTCGTTGTCATCTCCAATGTGATGTTCAATGCTTATGTGATGTTCTTAAAAAAAGAAAGAAAACTAAAATGTGACAGAGGACTGGTTTCACATTGTCCATGAGTTTGATTTGGGAATGTTTGATAGCTTATAAGAATTAAGATTTCAATGAAGTGATCAGGCAGCAAGTTTCAAACTTTTATTTCATTACACTATGTAATGTAGTAGTGGAACTCACTGCTATGAGACTTTTTTCAGGGTCATAGGGTCAAAAGGATTAGACTTATATGTGGAACGTGATATTTAAAAATGTTAGTTTAAATAGAGTCTCCACTCAGAAATATCCTAAATTACTGGCTACCTCTAACTGTAAAATATACAGGCATTTTAACTGTCTAGGAATGTTTTATTCTTATACAGTTTACTGTTTCATATTTGCTACTGGTGTCTTGTCAGAAACAATAAAAACAAAACTGACCTTTGTTCTGACCTAATACAGTACTTTTTCAAGAGTTCCAGTAGCTGAAGCATGTTGATATATCTTTCTACTCTGCTGCTTCTGCCGCACTGCTTTCCCTGTAGGATTTGCTTTTGTCAGCATGAAGCAGTAGCTCGGTCCAGACTATTACAACTGACCCAGTGGTGTTCCTCCATGCTCTTTTGTTCCAAGCATAAAGTCACTTGAGGCAGGTGACATTGGAAAAGAAACAGATAAAAATGAGCCTGTGTCTGTGCAGAATTGGCATCTAGAATTCCATACCTTAAATCATCTTCCTTTAACAGTTTTCTTAACTGTTTGAACTTCTGTTGATTAGCAGCACATAGAGGTTTTGGCTTAGAGTCAGGGTAAAGAAGAAAGCACCTAGTGCCTAACACAGGACTTGGAGGGACTTTGGAGGAGTAGGATTTTTGCAGTTTGGTCTCCTGAATAATCCGAAGTTTCTATTCTTTGTTGGCAAGATAATGAAGCATCTCTAGGTGAGAAATTCCAAACACTAGCATTAGATAACCATTAAGTTAGATAGCATGAGTACCTGTTCTGCTTGCTTAAATCCAAAATAGTTGTCTGCAGCACCCCCTGATGCAGCCGCCTCATTCTGGAAAAAGGCCAAAACTTGTCAGATAAGTCCCTTTTTGATCTTTGAACGCCAAGGGATTTGCTCCTGTTCGTGCCCAACCTCACCTACTCCGAGCAGCATGGCTTCAGGTTTCCACCTGAGTCTGATCAGTGCTGAGAAGCTAGGCAGTGTTAACTAAGCTCCTAATTTAGATCAGGCCAATTAGTTTTCAAACCTTGAGCAAGAGTGGCGCTTTTGTAAGAGTTTGGTATCTTAAAGCACCAGCTCAGGAAGCAGAAAACAGCTTTGGTGGCTGCATGGCTCTGGGCCAGACAGATGAGGCTATGTAGCCATGTTATCAAAAGAGAGAAGAATAAAAACCACCTTGTAGAACACCTTCCTGTTATTGTTAGAAGAACCACAGGGGTTTGTGGGTGGGGTTTTCTGTGTTGGTTTGGTTTTGTTTTTTTTTTAGTACTTTGAGGACCTACCTTAGGCTAGCAAGCCAAATGCTAGTTTTGGAGTATATATAATGGTCTCTGATTATAGAGAAAATGACATTAAATGGCAGACAGATTTTTATTTTTTTTAAATAATGTGAGAATTTGGATCTTTCTGCAAACATCCACTTATTAGATTTTGTCTTTTGTATTTTCAAAACAGCTTGAAAATTGTCAAAATAATGCATTCTGGGTCATGGGACCTCTCGTCTATTGAAATGGCTAACCGAGTAGTGTCTCAAAAGAAGATGACTTTTATCTGTCCTTGGGGACAAAGGGGCTGTGGAAGGGGGATAAGGATGATTAGCTTAACTGATTAGAAATGGTGTTACTCATACTGTGCCTGTGCAGCACTTGTTAAACCACTGCAGCTATGAGACACTGGAGTAAATTTAGTCCATGTTTAGCAGGCTCCCACTATGTTCTTGGCATATTCAGGTTACTACTCTCAGCAGAGCAATAGAAGGGGCTGTAAATATAAAGAACTATGTGTAGCTAAATAGGTGATATCTGGAACAAATTGTAAACACTTTATCTTTGGCTTCTGGGTCACCATGTTCTTTGGGATAGCCCTTTTTTAATCTGCAGAGGTGACTTATTGTAGCATGGGGAGATGAGCTGTGCATGCTGTTTTGGTTGTAGTCTTCTGAGGCACAAAATGTCAAACTGCTTAGAAAAGCTAGATGTAAAACGTGATATTTAAAAATGGGATTTATTAAGTGCTACTATGAACGTTTAGAAGTCACTAGTATAGAGACCTCTTCGTTTCCACTTTCTTTTCTATTTGGCATCTGCAGTGTCAGTATGATAATATATAGCATCATAATTGCACTGTTGCTCTGCTATAAAATATTTCAAATAACACTATTCTATATGTGTTATCTTAAAATAAGTGGTGTTGGATAGCTGATTGCTTCTTTTTAGTATAGATTACAAAACTGTTTTTAGGTGTCCTTAAAATGTTCATACTAAACAGCTTTGTTTATCTTACGGATCTTAACAGGGTGAGTTTTTTCTGTAGCTGTTGATGGCAATATTAAAAATTACTACACTGTTCCTTCTTTAGAGAAAAAGGTGTAAAGTGAAGTCACTCTCAACGTAGATGACCTCGTTTATTGTATCTATCCTGGTGTCTGTAAAAAGTATCCTAGAAGGGATAGGCTAAGGAGATTCTGTATGTAAAAGAAAGCAATATTTTTTAAGTTGAAGAACTGTACGGGTTGGTGAAATACTGTTTCGTCAGTGCCAGGCTAACTCTGACCCTGCTGTGCATTCAGACAGATGAGATGTGTGCTTATACAAGTATTTAATGGATGTGATAGGTAACACAGCAAGTGAAGAGTTACAGAAACTGTGGCAGTAAAATGTGATAAAAGCATGTGTGAAAAATCTAACCAATCCAGTGAGGCAATGTAGGTCACAGTGGCTTGAAGAAATACCACAGTTACTAATACGAGAACCAATACGAGAAGATGCTCTAGAGAATCAAAGGCAACTCTGAGATTGTGAGTCCATCAAAGGCAACAGCCAGAAGCCTATGTTAAGATGAGCTGATCCATGAAAATTCAGTTTTATCAGTATGCAGTTAAAGAAAATTAGAAGTCATGCAAATTTCGATACTGCATCAAGCTTGGTGCGGTACAGCAAAAACTCACTTGGTTGCAGGAGAAAAGATGCATTATTGTTAACTGCGTATGTGGCAGCAGAGGATGTAGACACGTTCTGCCCAATGAACAGACGTGGCTGTGGAAGAAGGAGAGACCCAAAATAGAACCAAAAGGGATATTAAGGACTGTGTGGGTATGCTGTGAAGTTCTAAGGCACCAAGTTGTATTTTTAGAGTGAATGGGATAGAACTGCTTGTACTATGTTGTGCTTAATTGAAGAATGAGTGTCTTATATCTGAAAATTATGAACCTTTTGGTAGTACAAGTTTGTACTGAAGTGCAGATG